GCTAATAAGAGGGGACTGACGGACATACATATATAACACGACAAATTATGTATATATTATATATTATCACATCTATAGTTCGGTCAGAGAGTAATAGCATGAGAGCCTATTTTTTAAAAAGAATGTTGGCGGTATTTATTTTAGTCATAAGGATCAGTATTTCCGACAATGTGATTGGAGGATTGTTATCGGAGGACCAGTGATTTCGAAAAATAATCATAGTCAAGGTTGTAGCGATTTACTATAGAGGGAGCCGAGCTAGGGTGATCCTATGCTCTCTGCCATTCTGTATAAAGAACCAAATCATCATCCACTATGATTTGAAATTTTTCATAAAGAAAATTCCTTCAAATATGAAAATTTTGTATGAACGTCGTGGCACTTGTTTCGTAGGCATAGTACTGCATAGGGCCACTTGGCTTCTTTTGTAATTTTTTAAGGCTTGGTCGTGCAAAGCATTGCCACTCAAGTGTGGGCATATGCTTTGATCTAGATGTTGAATGCTTCAAGGTGGTGGACACTTATTGCGCTACAATTTGAGCGCTAACACGCCTAAGTCTTAATATATATATATATATAATATTATATAATATAATATACTATAATATCATTATATATATATATATATATATAGATATAATAATATATATTATATATAATAAATATACTATCATTAGACTATACTATCCACTATCCAATTTTAAAGTACCTAAGTCATACCTTATCCACCACCATTCAATTCGACTTGGCCGAGAAGGAGAGGAACCGAGAATAGACGGAGAGAAGAAGGGGAAAGGAAGAATGAGAGAAGAAGAAGAAAAAATGCCCCGGAGAGTTTTCCTTTATTCCTCTCAATTATAATTTACGCTGTAGTTCTTCGCCAAAATTAAAGTACAAAATTCGATATATATACACAACGTTTGTGCTTGCCTACAGAGAACTAATTAGAAAAATTATCAAATTGACCTAAAACTATTTAGATTATGTCTTCTTTGGGAAACGTTTTTATTCACTTTCTGAAACAAGCTTTTAAAAAACTTTTATCACTAAAAATCGCTTTAGAAGGGATGTAAAAAAGCCGTTTCAAGATACGCATATTCAATAATGTATCATTTTTATCCATAATGTATACTGCATTCATCCTTCATAAGTGTCAAAACGAGCATGACTTTTAAGGACATTTATACACTTTCTATCTCTTTTTTGATTAAATTCGTGAGATAAAATAAGAGAACAAGAAAAAATCAGATCAATTGAGTATTTAGTAATGAACCAATTTGATCTTTTTTTTAATAATGGATGATGTTACTAGCATCTAAGCTTTAGCTTTTGGAAAATGCACAGAGAGCAGTTCTTCACTCGAACTTAAAGTTTCATTTGGTTACCATTGTTTATTATATTAAAGTAATTTTTAGCTGGTTAAAAAAATAATATTTATACTAAAAGTACAGCGTAAGAAAACCGTGAAGCCTTTAGGCTTCTTTTGTGACAGGCTTTTTTTACTGTTTTCTTAAACCGCTCAAATACAAAAATTTATAATTTTTCATTAGAAAAGCGGCTTTTAAGAAGCCACTAAGAAACCGTCCAAACCACCTAACGCACCAAGCCTAAATTAGCCTTACTTTAGAATGATTCAGATTTTCAATCAATCAGCTTCGGTGTTTTAGCCATTTGTTATGAAGCATAAGTCACTAATATGCGGAAAGTTTATTTTGAAAACAAATGGAGTATTTATAATGAGCGCCAATGGCCACCAGGCCCACTTTGGCACTTTTTTTATTAAAACTTAGACTTTAACTAAGAGGTCTTCAGTTTGTGACCTTTTACCCTCCCATTATGTTATGTTTTAATTTACCTTAATTGCATCAAAATATTAAAAAAAACTCGTTTAATTTTTTTATTTTTATTAATATTATTATTTCCGGAACCCAGCCCACATAGTGGATAAAGGCCTTAATGTTGTCCTGTGTTATTGTAGTATTATTTTATTTATTCATTTTTTTTGTCATCAAGTTTGTAAAACTCCAGGTATATTAAGACATAAAAATAACATTTAAATGATTATTATTCAAATTCTTGTAAGCATATGTTTCTTTGCTCTTATCACTTTACATGTAACTTGGTGATTATATCGAAAGGGCTTTGCCCCATTTTTTTCCCAAAAAAAAAAAAAAAAAAGTTTCATGTTGCTTATATTAATACTGATTTCAACATATTAATATATTCCTAAAATTAAATATCCTATTATGTTGAGTCAGTTGGGCTCCCTTGTATATTTTTTATATTTCGTTATCATTTTTTATTTTTAAAAACTGCAGTTTTTTATATATTTTAAAGTTATTTTTTATTTGAAAAATAAATCATGTTATTTAAAAAAAATCCTAAAATAATTTATAGATAACTTAATTATTCTTAAAATCAACTATATCATCATCATCATCATCATCATTGCCTTCGCCTCAATGGTGCCCTACTGATCACCACCACAGTCATATAAATTAATTTATATTTATATTAAAATATAAATATAAATAAAATAAAATAAAAAAAATAACGAAAATGATCAAAAGAGCTGTTTGCTAATTTTTTTTTTTAAATAACTTAACAAATTAAAGCCAACATTAAACAATTTTAGCACAAGGAGCAAATGGCTTTACATGTTGCATCTGATTTACACAATCAGAAGAACAGTTCCAGAATGCATATTTTTTTTTGTGATGTAAAGGGAATGGAGCCATAATGAGCAATTTAACAGAAGAAAAGCGATTACAACGATGGTGGCAAATCTATTTCCACAACTCCTTTGAAGAAGAAGAACATTGCCTCTTTAAGAGTTCCTCAGAAGATAGGAAACCAGGACGCCAAGGATGGCACCTGCTACTACCTGCACAAGAGATTTCACATATTGATTAATATAATAATATTATAGTGAGAGCAATGCTAAAGATGTTGACTATTATGATTCGTTTGGGGCGGTTTTTTTAGTGCTTTTTAAAGCAGCTTCTAACATAAAAAAGAAGGCTTCTTTTGAGATGGCTTTATACTAAAAAGTTGCTTTAAAAGCAATAAAATAATCCCAAACAAAACCTAAGATTTCATTTAGGACAACTTTTTAGTATAAAAATTCCTAATCTAATTTTTTTACTAAAAAAACTACTTAAAAAACAACAAAAAAACTGTCAAACAAAACCTAAATGTTCAAAACTTCTGATCCAATTGATGCTTTTTTTATATTGGATTGCAGCTTCAACCTGTTTAATCTTCATCTTCATGAGAAACATAGTGTAATTTAGGTTAATGCCGCGTCATTCAGATTCAAATCCAGACGCTTCAAAATGAAGTAATACTTGAAAAACATACAACAACAACATCAAGCCTTTATCCCACTACGTGGGGTCGGCTACATGAATCCTTTTTTCTCCATTGTGTCCTATTAAAAGTCAAATTCTCGTTTAAATCTAATAAAGAAAGGTCATTCCTAATATTTTCTAACCAAGTCTTTTTAGGTCTACCCCTACCTTTCTTAACATAAGTCAAATCTAATACCTCTACTCTCCTAACCGTGTCATCGGAAGGCCGCCGTTTTATGTGACCAAACCATCTAAGGCGACTCTCTCTAATCTTAACTTCTACTGGAGCTACTCCAACCTTTCCACGTATATGCTCATTTCGTATCCTATCTCTAAGTGTAAAGCCACTCATCCACCTGAGCATCCTCATCTCTGCCACACTTAACTTAGTATTATGCTTCTCTTTTAATGACCAACATTCTCTTATAATACTTGAAAAACATAGCGTAATTTTAAAAGAAAAAAATAATTAAAAAATAATAAAACAAAAAATAATAATAAAAAAACTCTAAAATGTTGGAACTTATCTCCAACCGAACTCTATTTTCTAACAACAACAAAAAAAATATTCTATGTATATTCTTTCTCATACTTTTTTCTAACCTAATTTTTGGATTTTAAAAAAAAAACATGTGAATAGCGACGCACTATCCACCCTCACGCTAATGGCGTTTTATTTGGCGATCGAATGGAGCAAACCAATGATGCCAAACGAATGTTAGGCATTCGGCCGGAGATGCTATTAGTAGCTGTAGTCACTGTCATACAAATTAATGCTACAAATACAATAACTCGAAGGAGGGCAGAGTTTGAGCTCAAAGGTGAAAAAGCACTAAAAATTTGAATCAAATTTTAGCACAGATCGAGCTCAAATCTAGAAAAACAATTCAAACCCATTAGCCTTTTTTTGGGGGGGTTAGTCTGATTTTCAAAAAGGATTTTGATAAATCAAAATATAAAATAAGATCATTCACGCCTAAATACGAGTGAGCAAAACTCCAACCTGCATAGACTTGGGCCTAGTTTGGATGGGATGTAGCTGATGTAAAATAGAGTTTTAAAAACAGAAGTTGTGAAGGAGTTTAACAAAATCTTGTTTCAATAATGAGATTTTGTTTAATTAACATTCTTTTAAGTACTTACTAAAACTTGAAAGCAAATATTAATTGTTTGTTTAGATATTCAGCTTTAACGATTTTATAATAAAAGACTAAATTATTCATCTCTAAAATTTAAGTACATGTAAACTATATATATATATATATATATATATAATTCTAGAAAACCGTAATACTTATAATATCAAAATGGAGAATTATTAACATATTTCACGGACTTACGGACCAAAAAAAGCTTTAAAGCAGCTGCAACAGTAAAAGAACGTCTTATAACTTATACGCATACCAAATGTCATCAAACTCTGTAATTCATCTAATGTTGTTAATGATATGTTGTCAAAATTGTGATTTGGGTTCATTATCAGCAAAATTTAAAAAAAAAAGAAAAAGAATCAGAAAATGCCAGTGAGGAAGAAGGAGAAACAAAAAATAACTAGGGCACAATGCAGCGAACAACTGTGGCAATTTCAGGCAGGACACTTGCAGGAACAGATGTTTGGACGAACAACTGAGGTGAAAGCAGCTGAAATCTGAAGGCAACGAGAGGTGTGAAAGAGGGGGCAAAAAAAAATCCTTCTCACGATGAGTTCAAGCCAAGGTTTGCGAAGACGTGCAGGAAGGTAGTGCAACGTGAGGGACTTTTTAGACATTTTACTTGCAAAAAACACAAGAAGCACTTGAGAAGCCCCTACCTGGTTCACTTGAGCAAAATTAATCTTTCTCAAATGAGGCCTTGGTCATGCAGGACTTCTATTGGAAGCTCCTCATAATGATCAACATTTAGCTTTCAATGGCTACAAATATAAAAAGATACATCAAACATCATTCCTAATCAGCCAGCGGCGTCCCCCTCTTGCGTGCTATCCTCCCATAGATCTCTCACATGCTTCACAAGGATAGTGAGAAAGCATGAGAGAGAGAGAGTACACCTACCATGAATGCAATTTGAACTTTTTTTTTTGGAAAATGCAATTTGCACTATTCTATTCCACAAAGTCTGCAGAGTTTCTTCTTCTTACTAGGCTTCAAGGCTTAGTTAGCCCTGAATTCTATCTTCATGTGAGTGTTTGGTTTCATAAGGAACACAATTTCAGTAAAAAAATAAGGGATCAAAAGTGACCAAATAGTTCAATATTCAGCTCTCAAGGCTTTGGTTGAATGAATTATACCTATTGCAGACTGAATATTCATGACGGTAAAGTATCAAATTTCACGTCTTAGTTTTGCACGAGTATCCAACTCACAAACAAAGAAAAAATAGAATCACCAAAACTTTAGGACGATCAAAATTACAATAGTCCGTTATTGGGTCGTAATCTAGTAACAAACAGGGATTGGATGGAAGGAGACAATGGGAGGTCGAGAGGAAAACCAATGATAGATGGTGGTCGGGCAGAAGTCCGGGCGATAGTTTGGTGACAGCCGGTGGTCGAGGAGGATCTGGTGGCAAGAAAATTCTGATTTCTCTCTCCTCCTCTTCCTTGTTTGGGTTCCCTTCAATGAAGAATGAGGGATCCATTTATAGTTTTTTGGAAGTGACATGACCAGTAAGTAGGGAGAAGATCAAGGGTATGTTGAGAGTATTCTGAATGTATAGCCGATATCGACTCCCTTGATCGCAGATCGTTTATCGAGTATTTGAGTGTCTTAATGACATCAAAATTCGGCGATCTTGGGCTCGTTGGATTCGTCTCATCGAGCCGCTTGATTCGACTATAAGCATGTCGTGTTTGGAAATCGTTTGGATATCCAATTTATTGTTTGAACCTTTCAAATGCGCTTCAGATCTTCGATTTGAATCCATTTGGGCTCGGATTGAGTCGAATTCGGTGTCGTTGAGTTCGTCTTTTCGAGATGTTCAGCTCGACTATATGTTTGCTGAAATTGGAGTTCGGATGGTCCCGGATTTAATTTCGGAAGTTTCCAATTCAATTTTACGTCGAGATTTGTGCCCGGTCAAGATAATTTTTGATGATGTATCAATATCCTCTCAAGCAATCAAAATAAGTAGAAATAATGAAAACAAATAGCTCTTCTATACTGCCTGTCTAAGAGGAGAACTTTCTTTGACGGAGAATAGCAATTGATAGCCAGTACATAAATGACATGGCATGAAAAAAGTCTAGCTGGCATATTTAAATAAGATAAATGTTACTGGATACCTGAAGTGGAGTGTGTCCAAGCAGCTCACGTAAGGGCCTTATGCTAGATAAAGGATGTTCTGGTGGCAGCTCGCAAACTATTTGGTTCAACAACTGAAAAAGAAAAAAGTTATGCAAATAACTTAAAAGTGCAAAACAAAAGTTTATACCAATAACATAGTTGTATTTGAGCATTTGCTGGAAACGTCCAAAACTTGTAGCATGTCATTCCCATACATGCTTGCCTTGGTAAAAACTAGCCATTGAGTTGCCTTCATTGTTATATAAAGATCACGAATTTGAATTTAAAAAATAAATAAATAAAACGATAAAAAGTCTATCAATAACGAAAGTAATTGAGAAATACTTTAAACAAACTTCTGGCATTTATTTCAATTGAGCATTTTTTACGTGATAATCTTATTTCGAAAAAATTAACAATTGTACAAATGCTTGCAAAAATATTTAGAGCTTGTACTGCCACAAGATTGGAATATCAATGACAACCAAATTTAGAAATGACTTCACAAACCTCTCTTCCTACACCTATAAGATATTCAAGTCCAAAGAGCATAAAAGCTTAATAATTTAAATTTTTTTATTTCTAGCATTTTATCAAAAGCAAAAGACCATAAATTGATCAATATTATAATATGGAGGTGCATATAAAACCCAATCGGTTCACAAGTTTCCCAATTCAACTACAAATTTTGATAGATTCTGGATAATTATGTGCTCAAAACAATTATGAAAGGACTGAACCGGCAGAAGGACCAACTTATGGTTGATCCGATCGAACCAATCGATCTAGTCCAATTTTTATAAACATGGTTTTAAGAATAGTTGATGTGGAAAAAAAAAAGCTTGTTATGGTTGTATTTACAATGAAATGGATGAGGTAAAGGAGTTGACCACACAAAATTTAAGCAGAGATTAGTCCAGCTATAAGAAAAATTAAGGAAATCACAAATGAGAAATGAGAGTTTTAGTTGCATCAACATTTGCACATCACAAGCTATTATTTGAATACCCAATATCAATATGCTAAGAATAAGTCAACTGTTAGACCGGTCCAGTGGACCGGTACAGCCGGTCCGCAGGACTGACCCAGACGCCCGCATCGAAAGTTTTCCGCCTGGGCGGAGGATGCACGAGCTGCTCTTTGTGAGTTCGTGGTGCTTCCTCTAGATCTCTTTGTGAGTTCTTGAGGAGGTAGTGTTGTAGATCTCTTTGTGAGTTCTTGCGGATGAAGAGTTGAGGTTTGTGGGTTTTAAATTTCCTTTCCTCCTCCCAAGATCCGTGACCCTCTCCCCTTGTTTTCCTCCGCACGGTTCTCTCCACCAAGCCCATCCCGCCGCCCCGGACATCTCATAGTCATGAATGGCCAATCCGGAGCGTGATTACGACATTGCATACGATCATCAAGGCGACATTGACGTCATCCGATCGCCGTTCTTTGACATTGGATTTGGCTTCGACCACACCGTTGAGGATTACTTGAATCGGATTCTTCCCCACCTTGTGGACATCCTCGACGAGCAACTTCCGACGGACGAGTGGATCATCAACGGCCGAACACCTTCTTCTCCAAATCCGACTTCCTCCCCGGCGGCTAGCCCCCTCGGCATTACTTGTCTAATAGTGGCATCGTTGAGTTTGTGCGCCATCCTCTTCCGCTAACCGAGTGAATCCAAGAGTGAAAGTGAGGGACTTCGAGGTGAAGGATCTATATCTTAAGCCTTGGATTTTTGTTAAGAGCCATTTGCTTTATTACTTATTGGATTAATTTTGTTTGTTTCATGTTGCTTCTAAATGTAATTGATTGACGTTGCTTAGTTCTTCCATAGAAATTTCTTGCGATCTATCTTGAAAAGTATTTGTTTAAAATTAGCAACGCAAGTTCACAAGTATTAATTTCTAACAAGCAATTCTTGTCTATCGCATTTAGTTTCACATCAATGTAACTAGTACATGATCCTATTTTGACTTGTCTTACTCTCTATTACAGGATAATCCAAACTACTTACAGATGATTCACTTTTTAACAGATACCCTCACATATTTATGAATCCGCCACAATATTACTTAAATCTTTTTGAATTCTAAAATTTTTACTCAAATCTTTATGAATTGTTGAAAGTTTTACTGCATAATAATGTACAAATACATTCTTCTCTTCAAAAAAAAAAAAGACTAGCATCCAACAAGTAATCATAACATTCTCACCTCAGCTTGCCGACCTGCATGTAGTCTTATCCCAGATGCATCATACATTACCTGTAAAAATAATTATTACAAAAATCCTCAATTCTACATCAAAATATGGAGCATCAATTTTTTAACGTAGAAATTCACACAATTCACGCACAAAAGTACAGGCATGCTTGCTCTAAAATCCCACAACAATGAAGCACCAAAACAAGAAATATGCATACCATTAAAAGAAAAAAACTAAAGGGCAGTGTTAGCATGCTGTATCCTTCAACATAATGCCCGTGCAAATATGCACACAGCCCCACAATACCCTTTTTTTATTTTTGGTAAAGGTATATAAGTTAGAACGATGTATATTGATTTCAACAGCACAAACTAAACGCTTCATTGTACAAGTTTGTAAGTTCCTTTACAGACAATCTTCAATTCATTTTAGCTGCTAATCTTTGGCTGACAATAAGACCAAAAGCATTGACCTAAGTTTAGGAAACTCTATCATGCAGGTAGCAGAAATATGAAAACACAAGGATTTAGGAGAGAAACAAAATAATAAAATTGAAGAGAGAAAAAAAAATACATTTATTCCTCAAGGACATAATTTTGAATAGGATGGCTATGATGAGGTGCAAATTCTGTATTTGAATAAGGCAGATTGTGGAGATTGGGCAATATTTGAATAAAGGTTGTTGTGGAGGATAAGGTTGGTTAGAATATGTTTGAATTTCGTAGGTTTATTGTTAGTTTATAGGATAAAATCAAGATGTTAACGCCAGAGCGTCAATGTTATACATGCATTATTATTAGTTAATTAGTGATTTGATGATCATAAACTTTGTGTAGTGCCATCTAATAGTGCGCATTTATATGATTGTTTACACTTCATTGTGCATAGTGTGTGGAATGTACTTGACACTTCAATTAGTGTTAGCGGTTGGTGCACGTAATAATGTTTTATTAAGCTTAACATCCTAGAATTAGATTATCATGGTGAAGACCATTTTTAATCATTATTTGTTAGTTGGAAAATATATTGATCTACCAACTTCGTTAGATTATTTGTACTCTGATTTTTAGGAACAAAAGAAGTTTATATTATTAAAATCAATCAATCCAAATTAATGGTATATTTGTATGAAAAGTTATATATCTTCCGTTTTTGTAAATGGTGCTTATATTAGATAGTATTTTGGCTGTGCTAACAAGAAGAAGTTGCTTTAGCATAATAGAACGTCAAAGCTATCACTTGTTTTCATTGAGCTCTTCCACCAAAAATTCAAGTACTTGTTACTACCCTTAAAATTGAGAAAGAAATTTTGGACATTCCTTGAAATAATAATAGATATGTGAGAATGCAAAGTACGTTTAAGCACTAGTTTCTAGAAAATGTCCTAAAGCCTCAAGTGAATAAATCACAAAGATATCACTCCAAGAAATACAATAAAAGAAAGAGAGCTACTAATGCAAGGCAAAATAAATAAATAACTAAATAATTATATGTGCCTTACATCTCAAATTGATGAAAAAGAAAAAAGACACCCCTCCAACTTTGACAATAATAATGATGTAAGCAAATTATCTTATGGAAAACTCTCTAATAATTTTGATTAATTAGTTGAAGAGTTTGAAATTTTAAAAAGAAAGTATTTTTTGCATGTAGTCATATGGCTTTGGTAATATTATTGATATTTTGAAAAAAGAGAATCCATCAAACATGATATCATAAATTTAAATTAAAAAACTAGAATAATGTTCATTGCTTGAAAAGAATAATGTTAAATTTAAAAATGATTTATATCTTCTTACATGCATGATTTGAATTATTGAATGATCAGGTAAAATCATGCTCATTATTAGAAAATAAGAATTAAAAACTTAAAAATAAGATCGCTAACCTTAGACTTTAACTTGATGATTATCCTCTTTAGGCACTTCTACAACTTATTGTTCCACCATTTCATGTATACATGCTTCACTCATAAGTTAAAAATTTAATATGCATATAACCTCATTTACTAGAAAGCATGAAAAAATATATACATATACTACTTTATGCATGTTCTCCCCAAAATTCAATGCAACTTCTGTAATAGATAAGAGGTTTCAAATGTTTGTGAATTTAGAAGAAACATGAACACAACTAGTACATCTTCATATGATTCGATTCCTAAAGGCACAGCACTTGCTTCACCACCACCTAAACATGAGTTGAATGCACATGGTACCAACGCTACAAGACCCAAACTTGTCTGGGTACTTAAAATCCATAATACATGCATTTGTAATAAGCATGTCTTCATGGAAAATGAATGAAGACTAGTTTTTTAATATTTCCAAGAGCAGTTTGGGAGGGCATGGTAAAAGGTATAATATTGGGAACATTCTAAACCCCTTCTTACTAGTGTTATGGTCTTTAGATTAGTCTATTATCATGCATGCTAACTAAGCTATATTTGATTAAAAAATTCAACTTATATGATTGTATGAATTTTGTCTCTTTCATAATTATGTTCTTACATTTGCTTATACTAGATAGTTTTGTTTCCATTGATGATCTTATTTATGTACAACTTTTATACTTAAAGATTTGGGCATGATTATATTATTTATTGAAATTTTCACATCTCACGCATATAGACATGTTTTTCATTTAGCATGATTAAGAATAAAAATTAAATTAAATTTATCTCAAGCTAAGGATGTTGGTTGTATAATATCCAAAATTTTCAAAAAGGTAAGCCATAATTTTTTCCCAAAGAAATACCCCATTTTATCATTCCCCCATAAAACGTCAAAGTTATTTTCATTATATTCTATTTTGAATTTTGAGCATTTTGATGTATATAACAGCATATATATATAACTTAATTTGCTAGTTTAACCAATTAATAGTTCAGTAACCATTAATTAATATTAAACAGTGCAGTAGATTAGTAATTAAAAGTTACTAAATATTATATTACTGTAGCCATCCCACTTAAAATTTCATGCAACGGCTTGATGAAATCTTACGGCTGGAATTTGTGGGAAATGCCTTAGTGGATGCATTAGGACATAATAATATTACATATATATTTCATTATTTGTATTAGAGACGATGTTCTATTGATATCTTATGTTTAACATATTACAATTAGATTATTTTTAATCTTAATATGCGTTTTATAAGGGGTGATTTTGTTATCTATTTGTGGTATCAACAATCACTTGAATTCATGGTGAAACTTTTTGATGATGTCAAAAGAGGGAGAATTGATTTTGTTACTGCATACAAACTTGATGCTAATAGATGCATGCTCATATGGAGAGTGTAGTTTTATTTTATGCATCTTCTGAAGATGAGTTAGTTTTTACTCATACACAAATATCAATTTTTCATTATCGAATAAGGGGAGTTTGTTAAGAGAGGAATTACATTTGATAACGCCAATTAGGAGAGTAAATGTATTAGATTTGATCCATATTAAGAGAGATAGAGATAGACCTAAAAAGACTTGGTTAGCAAAAATTAGAAATGATCATTTTTTATTAGATTTAAATGAGAATTTAACTATTAACCAGACACAATAGAGAAAAAAATTCATGTAGAAGACCCCACATAGTGAGATAAAGGCTTAATGTTATTGTTGTTGTTGTTGAATAAGGGGAAGTTGCTAGCCTCATGAGACTGGTGATATATCACTACGTGAGATTGAAAGTTCCAAAGCATCCAATCTACAAGCCATTACAGCTTCAACTATGGCAATTGTTATTAAACACCATAGTTAAATTTGCTGTTAGGACAGTATTCATTCTAGCTGACTCAACCATTGCAGGCATATACATCACATAAAAGAACGCAAAAGATCACCAGTTCTAAGTCTGTCTCCTAGCAAGCATCAGACATCATGATAAACCATTCGGACTTACCAAAATAAATCAAATTGATTCCAAATATATGTATCACAAAGGAGAAAAAGAAAAAAAAAATTGAACCATAGAAACGAAATAAAATGAAGGACAAGTCCATAGGTACATACAACAGATGCCAAAACGATTGCAAGAGCAAATGAAGATCCAGCTGTGCCTTCCTGCAAACCTATTGCTGTTGCAAGAGCAACCACAGTTGCGGAATGGGATGAAGGCATCCCACCCGACCCAAGCAACCTCCTAGAGTCCCACCTTTTCTCTTTAAACCTGCATGTCTATGATGGATATCATAAAACTTAGCAGGAGACAATTTACATACGGCTGCCAACACAGAAAGCGTGAATTAATGATAAGGAACAGAATCAATAAAGTTATCGTCATAAACCAACAATTGCAAGAACATTGAATATACAGATAATAGGAATGGAAACAATAAATTAATAAACATGGGAGTAGTGTATACCAGAGCATCTAGGCCTAAACCAGACCTCTATCTTTTAGTTCGGTGTCAGTTCTAAAAGTTAATAAGTTTGGTTGTTTGTGGACTAAGTGATTTGGACTCTGATTCGGCACAATTAGGTACACATTCTCTCATTTGCATGGTTAGTTGGATGGGCTTCGAAAAGCCATTGTTTTACACCATACTAATACTAATGTATATTTTATGTAGGGGTGTCAATTCGGGTCAACGGGTTGAGTTTGGGTCCAACCCAAGTTGACCCGGGTGTAAAAGGGTTGTAGCCAAACCCCACCAATTTAGTTAAACGGGTCAGGATTTCCAACCATGACTCATCCCAAACGGGTTACGAGGTTGACCTACCCCGACCCGCGAACCCTAACTTTTGCCTTCCTTCCATGGTCAACCCGAACCCGAGCCATTTTCAGACGGGTCAAAAATCCGAACCCGGACTCGACCCGTTTTACAAACAGGTTGATCTAGACCCGAATTTTTTCGGGGTGGTTTCGGGTCATGTCAACTTTTGACACCCCTAATTTTATGAAAGTTTCATGCCTAGGCCACTACAAAATTAGGCATTGTAAACACAACATTTGGGTCATATATAGATGAAAAAAGGCAACTGCTTTTTTTTCTACACTTGGTAGCACCCGGCTTGCATTTGCTCCAGCCGTCTTTCCATACCCACTTGAAAACTGCATTCACATAACCTTGCCAGCTTCCCTCTTCCGATGGCAACCCTTATGCATCACCTAATCCATTCACGTGCTGGTGCAGCTGCTGTTGTCACTTGACCAAGAAAATTGTTTATATTATATAAAAAACACTTTATATGCTACAAAACTGAATTTAAGATCACAGCAATCTGATTTGGTTAAGTAACCTGCGACTGTATTCCTAAATGCAAATATTTACAGCTACGCTACTTAATCGCACAGTTCTACAACAGTGATTACACAATATTTACAGCAATAATACAGGAATCCTTAATAAATAATGGCTAATTTTGGCATGATATGTGCTACCATATATATATATAACCGATATGCCCTCTCAAATTGATGTGGGCAATTGGCTATTTTCCAAAAGGAACCAATGATGTTATGTCATATGACCTTTGTAATTATCTCAGCAATCTGAAGGTTAGTAGAAATATGATAAAGAGAAATACCAAAAGTAACCAAAGCTTTCGGAATTGAATGGTAGTCCACTTCAAATTGCCCCGTGCACTCATAGGAAACAGTATAAATAGCAATTTGAATGGCACTAGTATTATTCACATTGACAGAAGTGGGATTATTCAAAGAAAAACGAAGTTCATATATAAGTCCACATAGCCAAATAATCAAATAACGAATAGCATAGTTTAAAATTGCGCAATTCGAGGCGTGCCTTTCCGCAATTTGCCCCAAAATAGCCTCAAAGCCTAAGCAATTCTCAGGACTCACGTACGCCTCAAGTGTAGTGAGGTGCACCTCACAAGCGTTATTGTGCAATTTCCATTGAGGCCTATGCCTCTAATATGGGGGCCTTAAATTCTTCCTTATACCCCCTTACCCGACGGAAGACGTGAACCGAAGCCTCCAAGAAGCACGCAGATGCCCGATCCGGCTCTCCCGCACGTTTCCTCCGCCTCTCCCGCCGGCGCCGCCTTTCGTCGGTGAGTCCTTTGTTTCTGGCCGCCCCTCTACATCACTTCTTCAAGTGTTCTTAGAATTTTTTTTAAGTTTAGGGTTTGATTTTTCAAATTATAGGAAAGCTAGGGTGGTTTTAAATTTTTTGAGTTTTTGTGTTTTATTTTGCATTTGTGCTTTAGGAAACATGGTTAGGGGCAAGGAAAAGATAAATACGTCATTACGGCGTGACCCTTCTTGGAAATACAGTGTGCAAGTTGATGTAGGAACGGCGAGAAGACATGCGTATTTAAAATGTAATTTTTGTGATAAGGTGGTGAAGGGAGGAGTAACTCGCATGAAGGAACACTTATCCTGCTAAAACCCTTAAATTCTCATTTACGCAAATCTTCATCCGTGAGGCTTACGCCTCGAGGCTTATTTATGCAATTTTAAACCTTGACAAATAGAAAATAGTGCGTAGCAATAAAAATTGATAAATGATTTAGACACGAGACTTTTTTCTTACTCTTCAACAAAATCAAAGAGTTGCTAAGAAACATGAACCAACTATGAGAGACCATCAAGTATTGGGGACAAATCAAAATCAAAACAAGCCATAGAATTAAAAAAGTACTACCATCAACATCAATATCAAGTCTTTATCCCAATATATGGGGTCGGCTACATGAATCCTTTTTCTTCATTGTGTCCTGTTAAAAGTTAAGTTCTCATTTAAATCTAACAAAGAAATGTCATTTCTAATATTTTCTAACCAAGTCTTTTTAGGTCTACTTATACCTTTCTTTACTTAAGTTAAATCTAATACATCTACTTTCCTAACCGGGTCATCGGAAAGCCGTCATTTTATGTGAACAAACCATCTAAGGCGACTCCCTCTAATCTTATCTTCCACTGGAGCTACTCCAACCTTTCACATATATATTCATTTCATATCCTATCTCTAAGAGTGAAGCCATTCATCCACCTAAGAATTAAAAAAAGTAACAAGTTGAAAAAAATAATCCATGACTAGGTATCCCATTAATATATTGAATGATTTAAATAAAAGAAACTAAATGTAAACGATAGGGCTTTGTGTAAATTAACTAACCTCTTAAGCGAAAAAGAAAATATTAGTTCAAATAAGGGATAAATAGCTCAAACTACCAACCAATAGTCAAATAACATTAGGATAAAAAAGAAGAACAACATCTTATCTATCAAAGCATAAATGGCAAAAGAAAAGGGCATGCAGTATGAACAATAAAAAGACAAGAGTAACAACCTACAATCAATGTATTCAAGCAATAATATCACATGTCATGAATCTTATAAAGGTTCTAATATGTTGTTATTGCAAATGTGCATGACAACCTTTAATTAATTTGAAAGCAATCAAACTTATGCACATACAAGCACACTAGGTATCATCATCATCCTCTAAATGACCCATCATTCATTCATCATTTTCGGCTCATGCTTATTTATATATTATCTATAGTCGGTTTTATTAAATACCCTACAACGGGAAGATAAACACCAACCCAAAAAATCCAATGATTTCTTATAGAGTCGCCACTCTGAAACCTCATTGATCTGCCTAGCCAATATCCAATATGGTTCCATGACATACACTCCAATGCACCCATGAATATAGTTTTTCAAAATTTTCATAAGCACTTTTCAAATGGTTTTATAATTTCAATATAATGAATGCTATTTCATAATAAGATATGATTTGAAAATATAGCATTTACTACACACAATAAGAGCATGTACATGAAAATATAATTGTTACAAAAATCAATATACAATAATTTGTGCAACAATAAAATAAAAAATAATCTACTTATGAAACTTGTTAGTTCATTAAGAGCATGAAAAGATCTTTACAAGTGTTTGCAAATAATCAACAAATTTCACAATAATGATAGGAGTAATAGTCTAATAATTAATCCAAAAAACCTAACACAATTAGCACTAAATACACCCCTAACAAAAAATGTTACATTTATTCAACAATAAATAATAGTTACTTATCTTAAAAGCAAGTTGCAGCACTTAACCCTATGGCCTCCTTGAACCAAAAGAGGCAACATCAAATGAGATTTACTTGAAATTCCTAAAAAATGATATTTTTAATAAAATATAATGATGCTTGGAATTGTATATATATATATATATATCAATGGTGCAAAATAGCACGCATCATGGCACACGGCGCGGCGTAGCGCACCTACGATGCAATGTACATGGCGCGACGCACATGTTTAAAATAGCACTTGCTATTTGTTTTTTACAAATTTTTAAGATAATCATGATATTTTTTTTTAAGATAATATACTATTTATTCTAAGATAAATATCGGCCCATTCTCTATGCCAAATTTCACGAATCGTTTCTTTGCTCCCGCGACAAGTTTGCTTCCGCCCCCTCCTTCGACAATTTCGCAAAACTATTTGTTGATTCCGCCCTCATTCGTATCTTCGGTCGGAGGCATCCATATTCAGCACGTTTGCTCGCCGCTTCTGCCCCCTTCCTTCGTTTGTTTGTTGCTCCTGACCATAGCAACTTCTCTGATTCCTCTGCTGCTTTCGACAGAGTTTTTTTCATGATCTGATGAAGAAAATGACTTTATTGCTGGAGAGGAAGATTTAACTTGGACAAGTGTTGATAAGGCTACTGGTGTTTATGATAAAAGCTATAACATTCGGGAGAGATCAAAAGGGAAAGAGAATGAATCTTCATCTAGGCATAATGTTGTTGATATTGAGAATAAAAATGAGGGTGATGAAGAAGACTATGAAGTAGGAGACAATGTTGATGAAGATAGCAAAGCTTTTTTAAGATTTGTTGATGATGATTCCCAAGAAGATCATATTAAATTCTTATAAAATCATTGACCTTTAACAAAATAATTGTAATATTTTGAATTATGAGATATTTGGGTGTTTACTTAAACTTATATATAACTATGGTTGTCTTTCATTATTATGATAGCTTGTCTTTCAATTTAATGATATATCATATTCATGTTTATTATTTTATAATTCTTGTATAGTTTGTGTCATGTTCAAAATAGTGCGCGTTGCGCCGTGTGATATGCGCCATGACTCCAAAGGGATATTTGCGTCGTGGTGCGCCATTCATCGTTAACAAGTATGATATATATAATTAGGCTATATATAACTAGGCTAGCCAAATTAACTTAAGCCACCACAACAACAACAAAAATGTCGAATGAATTTATATTAATGCGGGATAATCTCTCACTAATAATCAAATCTTACGATATAATATAAATATATACATATATACATAGATTCATTAGAAATACAAGCCAATGATAAGCCACTATGATTGCGAGTAATTCAAGAAGGTAAAGATGAGGAAGACGAGGAGATTTGGTGGTTACCTCACAATCGATCAAAAAGGAGATGTTTTGTTATCGGCAATTCTAACCAAAGAAGAAGACGAAAAAGGAAATTTTATACTGTCGTCTTTAAATCAAAGGAGAAGAAGGGGGAATACCTTCACTGGTGCAAACAGCAAGAAAGAGATGAAGAAGAGAAAGAGGTTTGGCGGCTATTGTTGGAGGGAGGAGAACCGAGAGATAAGTAATGCTCTAGCTTTATTTTACCTTAAATGATGCCAGACAGCAGGAGAATCAAACGAGGAGAGAGAGGATCGCGTGATCTATGCTAGAGGTGTCAAAATGGATTTTAATGTCAAGTTTGGGCCCAACCCGAAACTAACCTGCCATCAACTGACTCAACCTAAACCAGACTCAATTAGACAAATAGGGTCAAGATCCAAACCCGACACAACCCGCCCTTGACCCGAGTTGACTTGACCCGACCCACGTGCCTACCAGGCCGTAGGGGTGAGCCGTGAGCTGATGAGGCTGTGTAGGCGAGTACGGGTGTGAGCGAGACATGAACATGAGTACGACCGTGCGAACACTAGGGCGAGCATGCGAGTGCGACCCTGGTCAGTTTTACGTTGCTTCTGGGTTTTTCGGTTTTGACCCGAACCCGACCCAAAATTGGAAACGGGTCAGAATATGAAACTTGGGTCAACTCGTTTCCCAGACCTAGAATTTTCAAATCAAATTCAGGTCGGATCAAATATTAACACCCCCTAATCTATTTGATTGGAGATGTGGCTCTCATGGCATAACACTTTATCTTATATGATACTTAGTTCTCCTCTTCCAACTGGTGTATTGCTTTGATACCATTCTATAACAGTCCAAACTATTCTACTTTGGTCTAATAGACTCACTGTTTTGTCACGTTAGTATAACTTCCCTGGAGCTGGAGGTTACTCATCCCAGAATTGTTCCCGCATGAGAACGCTCAACTGTAAAATTTGCTTAATGAAATTCTAATAATTACACCAAAAGACACATTGATGTTTAAGAGTTTAAATTATTTTTACTTAAGAGGTTTCACATTCCACATGCGTGACACCATGGAGTTTGTTATGAAGGCTCGTGATAGCACGTATTAAGCATGTTTTTAACTATGCAGCATAATGTCTGTGATGTGCTGGCAAAGTCAGAGATTTTCAGGTTATGTTAAGTCGGTGACAAGATCTGGCCATTAAGCAAAGTCAATTGTCTAATTTCAGGTTTGAGTCACTGAAGAAGCGCACTTACAATATTCTGGCTCAACCTACAGTTCGTTAGAAGGACGGCCATGAAATGGTTCTCAAAATATAGAAGACCAGCCCATAGAATTTTCTAATAACCAAAAGCAGAATGCAGACTTTCAGATCCGACTACCTGATTGCTCTTCATCAGGCGAAGATATGAGCTTTGAGACGCCAAACCCTAAGAAGCCCTTTGCTCCTTCGGGTGCCACTGATTTCCTGCTCGTTGATTAATTTTACGCATGGGAATGAGGAAAACATGACTTTGAGTTATTCCCAACATGATACATACGAACTGTGGGTGGGCCTGGTCGACAAAAATATCATTTTCCAAATCCAAGCTTCGACCATTAAGCAAAGCCAAATGCCTAACTCATCCATCAAAACGCATCCTAATAAGCATATAATCTAGCAACCAAGAAACCAAGCAAAGGAGAAGCTTTGACTCCAAATAGCGTATAACCCTGTCAAATCAACAACCAGGCCCCCTCATCTTCCACCCACTAAATCAAATTAGAAAAGCACAATCAGGTCATCGCAAAGAAATGCGGTTCCATTTCGAAGATTAAAATAAGAACGGTCTTATAGACGAAATTAACGGGAACGCACCAGGTGGTGAAGATCTTGAGAAATTGAGCAACGGAGAAGGCGAGGAAGGCGGAGAGCAAGGGAAGGTTCATCGTTGAAGGTAATGGAGGAGATTGACTAGCTTTCGCTGACGATGAGGCTGCGATCTCTCGCATCGTCAGCACTTCGTCCATTCCAGACCTTCCTCCAAGATCGGTAAACCTATATGCCACGGGTTTTCTCTCCTCACCTTGCGCGCACTTCCTCACAGGTTAGACCATCTCCAACCGAAAAACTCATTTTTCACTCCAAAATATAATAATACATCAAAATACATAACTTGTTTCCACCTGAACTCCATTTTCTAACACCAAAAAAAGAATATTCCTAATATATTCTTTCCCATATATCATTTTATATATTTTTAATCATTAATATTATTTATCAAATTTTTGAATTAAATCTAATATAATTAAAACAAATATTTTTTACTCTATAAAATAAATTGGAATATAAATATATCATAAATAAATATTTAGTTGTTATTTTAATTTTTTGTTATTTGAATGTAATCTATATTTTAATTTTTTTTGGTATTGTACTTCTCAATATCTTTTATGTATGAGAAATTTATCTTAATTTTTATCTTAATGTTAAATTACATTAATTAATTTTGTAAAAAAAATTTAGATTACTAAAAAATAAGATATTTCTAATTTATTATTTTAATTAATAAAAAAAAAATTCTAATTTTTAATCTACCTGTCGACCCTTCAGCAACTTATTATAAGCGGATGTGTCTCTCTCTCCCATAACATTCAAAGTTAAATAATAATTTTATTTTATATTTAAAAATATATATCTGTCGCAGCTAATCTTGATCCGTTGGTTGGAAATTTTAGCTATTAATTAAGAGCTCTTTAGTTCGAGTCTTTTCTATATATCGTTTATGTGAATCTTACTTAATTTGATATAAATGTCTCAAATAGGCATATATATATATATATATATATATATGTGTGTGTGTGTGTGTGTGTGTGAGAGAGAGAGAGAGTGATGACAACATGCCTTTTTCCAATTAGATTTCTCCATTTATGTCATCTCTACCTATCTTCATCCAAGCCACTTTCTAAAAGGAATCACCCTAATAAAGTTGGATATTATTTTTTCATTGACAACTTAAGCATATATAAGTATTATTATTTTTTAGTTTCCAACTTGTAGCATTTAATCGTTTTGATGAAGATCTAACATAAGCTACATATAATATCAATCAGTGTGCTTCATACTTGCTACAACATGAGCAAATTATATTCGAACATGATCAAATATTATTCAAATTATTAGAGATCATATTATTCAATCATCATTCAATTCATATTTGGACATCATTCGATGAAGAAGGTAAGATCGTGTCTTAACTAGGCAAATGATTTAACTCGATTTGAATAACGTAAAATCATGTCATCAAGTATAGTTTGATTGCAAATTGAAAATATTTTACTATGAATTAATCATTATTTGATCATAATTCGATAAATGTTTGAATATAATTTGATTAATTTCAATATATGTTTGAAGAATAGTAAAGCTATATATGAATGAAGCATATTCATATGTAAATAAAGCATGAATATATATCCTTGTATTGTATGGAGCAAAATGGAAAGGAGACATGTAAGTTGGTTGATTTTTTTTCCAAAAAAATAGAACAAGTGATTGAAGATACAAAGAAATACTTCGCTTAAAAATATCATTCTTCTTAACATCAGGTGAAAGATGTTGATACAAAACAATTTAATTTGAAATTGAAGATAATGTACGACTATGGTGAAGCATCATCAATTTGTCCAAATAAGTTACTTAGAAATGATATTCTCAGTTCTTTTAATGAGATTCCCTTATCTATTACGTATCTATCTCTCATATATGTGACCACCATCTTAAGAATGCTCCAACTATAGTTCTTGTTCAAATGAGTTTGATGCAAGATTAATATGATGGTATAGGTGATTATGTGGGCGTTCCAAATATCGAAATAGGTTGTATTGTGGAAGTACATGATGCAAGTGATAGTTATTCAATGAATGTTTCAAGACTTAGGCTTCGTTTGGGACGACTTTTTTATTGCTTTCTAAAACGGAGTTTTACTACAAAAATAAAAAAATTTGTACTACAAAAATAAAAAAATTTGTACTAAAACTCCGTTTTAGAAAGCAATAAAAAAGCCGTCCCAAACGAAGCCTTAAACATCAATTGGAGATGTCAGCCCCATCTTGTGATCAACATAAAACTAGCAAACATCTAAGGTATTTTGATTATTCAAATACTTGGGACTAAAAATAATAATTCAATATATGATTAGCACATTGATAACTCATAACAATCAAGCATTCATGCTTGAAAATACTTTGAATTCAAAAATTTTAATTTACTAGCACTATGGTTGAGTTTGTCTCTATTGAATTACATGTTGCCAAGTTAATTTGAGAGTAAAGAAATGTTGAAGTAGACATTACATGCATATGCCATGAAAAAAGCTTTCAATTTAAAGTAAAGATATAAAGTAAAAAAAGAATGTACATTCATTGCACTTTAGAGATATAATCATTTGAAAAAAAATGGCAAATTCAATAATTTTCGAGATAATGAGTCTTATTTCAGAACACAATTGCACAACATATGTAAGATCAAATGATCACTGATAATCTCCAATGTGGCTCATTAGACATATGATCAAATATAAACTTGTTTCCTCTGATCCTAACATGATGCCAAAGATGATCATAGTTGTGTTATGAGCATGATATCACTTATGTGGAAAAATCCTCCTAAGCATCATTTTAGAAGTTGTCATCATTTATAATTATGCTACACAAAAAAAATTCAAGGATAACTGTTGATTGCCATCAATATAGTGATGATCATTTCAAATATGTATGTTTCTCATAAGATGTCAATACTTAGATTTATCCTATGACAAGAGTTATGGTTGTATTTTATAATGAGGTCGAGGAAGTCAACTGGATAGTGAAAAACCAAGTGTTGGTTCTGATAAATACAACAATATCTTCAATGTTTTTATTAATCATTTTTCTAGAGGCATGCTAAAGAGCTTGCACTCATCAAGTGGCAATAAATATTACAGTAAAATTCATAATTGATAGTTGTCATAAGAAATATCATTTACTTTTCAAGGTTTATAGAAGAGTTGTGTTCTTTAGGTACTTAGATAAAATACATATAAAAAACCCAAGCATAATATATTATTTTAGGAAAGAACTTTTCTTTGAAAGATGAGCTCGTGCTTTCTTCCTAGAAACTAATACAACTTAGTGACAGCTAGTATTTCTAAGAGTTCAATAATGCCACCAAGAGTGCATGTTACTATCTAGTGACAATATTATTAAAAATTTTAAGGCACAATGCAAAAATAAGTTAAGTGTGGCAGAGAGAGGATGCTTAGATGGATGAGTGGCTTTACCCTTAGAGATAGGATACGAAATGAGCATATACGTGAAAAGGTTGGAGTAGCTCCAGTAGAAGATAAGATTAGAGAGAGTCGCCTTAGATGGTTTGGTCACATAAAAAGGCGGCCTTCCGACGACCCAGTTAAGAGAGTAGAGGTATTAGATTTGACTTGTGTTAAGAAAGGTAGGGGTAGACCTAAAAAGACTTGGTTAGAAAATATTAGGAATAACCTTTCTTTATTAGATTTAAACGAGAATTTGGCTTTTAATAGGACACAATGGAGAAAAAGGATTCATGTAGCCGACCCCACGTAGTGGGATAAAGGCTTGATGTTGTTGTTGTTGTTGTTGTAATGCAAAAATATTTTTTTTTTTTAAATGTAACATTACAATGAACACAAATATTATTTTAGCAAACAAAATCAAAGAAGCATTGTAAAAACTCTTAAATAAGGCTCAAAACAATATCGTTTAATCCATTAGTCTACATGTCTTTGATGTTGGCCTTAGTGGTAATGATAATTTACAAGAAAGGGTGTGCGAAATAAAAAGTTTGATATTATGAGCTTCTCATGCAAACATGCATTGGTAGCAACTTGAGCTTAAGGTGTTATCTATTATAACTTATATTCAAAGTTTCATATAAAAGAGATATAGTTAGTGCCATATGCTTAAAATGTATATGCAATCAAAAAAGAAGACAATTGTGAGACTTTAGAAGAAATAAAGAAAGTTATTGTATTAACCTCATTGGTGAAGCATGGGAACGACCATATAATGATATATATAAGCTTTTCAAAGGATTAAAATGATGCTATCAAATATAGTGTAGCTGATATGGAGTTAGAGTTCATAATTTAGTTACTATTAAGAGTAAGTGTTCATCACCTTCATAATAGTTTTCTTGCTTGAATCAATTATAATTCATAAATTAATGTCACTAAATAGTTGTACTATGATGTAATAATTGTTATTTTCATGGGTTATGAATATTTGTTGAGTATGTTATAACTAAAATTTTAATGTTCTATATTTTGTGTTCCACTTTGTTATATCTACACTATTTGAACCGTGTTCGATTATTATTCAACTTATATTAATTTGAATTTAGAGTTATGTTTATGGTGATCGCACTATGAATTTGTTGTCTTATGTTAAATATTGAATGAATCGTATTTGAACTTCTAATTCAACTATTTTATAAAATTGTTAAGAACTTATTATTCCAACTATGTTCATACTTTGATGAAAATTTTTCAAATAAAAATGAGTAATGTTTGATTATGGATCAAATAATATTTAATCAAAGATCAAATTTTTATTGCATAGATGCTCTCAATGTTGATTGAATTTTTTTAGAACCTTGTTCAAATGCTATTTGAATTAATTTTGATCTCAATGTCCTTAAAGAAGTTTATGGTATGGAACATGAGAAATTATTATGTGCAGGCATCGGACGTAGAGCTATGTCTAGACTCTAATGAAAATATGACATGTGGACTAGTGTATTACTAGGTATTGGTGTGTATTAGCTGTGTATTTTTATGTATTAGCTAGTGCATAGTAATACACAGTTAATATATACCAAAACATTCTCAATTTTATCTTGTAGGTATAACTTCTCATAAGGTTTACGCATCCCATGATTTCTCCAGGATAAGCATGCTTAACCGCAGAGTTTTTAATGAAATTCCAACAATTATACCAAAATATGCATCGATGTTTAAAAGTTTAACCTCTTTTACTTAAGGGGTTTCATAATCTCCAACACTTAAGTAACGGATGTTCTAGTCACAATTTTTATCTCAGAATCATCCATCACACATATATGATTCTAGACGAGGCCCCTACAAGTTCAAGTGGTGATTCTTGCCACATAGCACTTTGTCTCATATAAGATTTAAGAGGTGACTCCCATACCGTAGCACTGTCTTGTATGATATTTAATCCCCATATTTCGGCAGGTGTATTACTCTTATATCATTTATAACAACTCAAACTTTTAATTCTCGATATATTTGTTCGTTGTGGTCCAAGTGCCTCACAATTTTGTCTTGTTGATGTAACTTTCCAAGAGATCACCCATCCCAAGATTTCTTTAGGATGAGCACACTTAACTATGAAATTTCTAAATGAAATTCCAACCATTACACCAAAAGGCGCTTCACTGTTTAAGAGCTTAGCTTCTTGTAGTTAAGGAGTTCTATAATTTAGCTTTTTTACTTGAGGAGATTCTCGTGTGCTATATAATTAGATCTGTTCAATTTGACATATAACTTTTTGTAAAAGAGCATTAGTATATGTATCACCTCATAAGCATTCATGCAAGCAAGTAAATAATGACTTATATAGCAAACCCCACGTAGTGGGATATTTCTCTCAAGTTTGAATAGTACTTTTCTATCACATAATATGCCCAATACATTCCTCTGCTTCAACCATCCAACTTGAATTCTACTAATAATATCTCACATATTTCATCATCACTTTGAACAATGGATGCGATATCTAAACCATGCACTCTTTTTAAATATTTTATCACCCGATCTCACAATCCCACCGTTAAATTTATTACTAAAATTATATTAAAGAATAATTATTCAAATATTTATATGTGATTTAAATTCAAAATGCCCTCCATTCATGCCTAAATACCCCTCATGATTTCCACCAAGAGCATTTCTTATGACAAATAGACCTCTTCTTAATTGCAGAGTGGCCTAAAGCATGCTTTCTTGTAAACCCAACCAACATAGCTACAACTCATTTTCTAACATTTAGGACAAACCCACAAAACTAATTCACAAGATTAATATCTTCCAAAGTTGTATACAAGTTTGGTGAACTAAGGTTTTGTTTGGAAAAGCATTTGGCATTGGTTTTCACTATTTTTAGACTTCGTTTTGGACGACATCTTACTATTTCTTAAAGCAACTTTCTAGTTTAAAATTTTTAATTTTTAAACTAAAACATTGTTTTAAGAAGCAATAAAAAAAACTGTTCTAAACAAAGCCTTAATATACTTCTGGGCTAAAAAATTACTATAGAAAACAGTAAAAAAATCATCCCAAACTAAACATAATAGAAAAAGATCAATTTACGACTGATAAACCTGCAACAATATTCCATCTTTGGCTAAAATTTAATACGCAAAAATCATAAATATTTGCAACAACAGCTATTACATCACAAGCTCTAACTGCATAGAAACAGACACCAGCCAGGAACAAAATTCTCAGAAATTTTTAATGGATATCCAATACCAGAAATACAAAAGTTTCCTTTTCTTCAGTGAGTCATAGTAACAAAAATAAGAAATTGGAGCCTGTGCTGATTACATCAAAACTTTTATGCCATTATAATTAACTTCATGAACATTATCAGAACTGTGCTGCAAAGGAAGAAGGGGCAGACTCCACAAAAGCATCTCAGCCAACAAAAAAATGAGCTATATCTTGAACTGAAACTTCGAGGAGAAAATTTTATACATAAAAAGCTCTTCCATGATATATTTCTACATTTTAAATAGTTTCCATAAAGATAAAAAAAGAAAATTGTAGTATTTCCCTACTTACTATGATGCTCGGGGATACAGTAAATCATTCCCGTTTAATGTGGTTCCTAAACTTGTACATCTCTTTCCTTATTTCAGTTTTTCTATATACTAGTGCAAGTTACAAGTTGGTAGATCTGAAGAAGACATTGCTTACACACTGAGGTTTCGTTTGGGACGGCATTTTAACTGTTTCTTAAAGCAGCTTTATAGTAAAAAAATTAAAATTTTTGTACTATAAAGCTGCTTTAAGAAGCAGTAAAAAAACTGTCCCGAACGAAGCCTGAATCTATCTCCAGACTGCTTTTTGATGTTAATTCTCTTGATCTTCGTCCCATTGGGGTTTTTCTTTATGGCTGTTTTGTTAGATGATCTCAAGGAAAACTATCTGACTGGCTGATATTACTGAATGAAGCTTCAATTTTGCTGGAGAAGAGTTAGAGTAGATTTAGTAAACAGGAATCAGGACGATTCCTGTAACAGTGATGAAATTTCAAAAGGTCTAATGAATCTCTCATTCAAAAGGCGCATGGCAGCACCGGGGGAGAATTTCCTCGCGAACAGAAAGCAGGGTACAAATGTGCCATTGCACTGGCACCATTCTGTACGTAAATCTGTTTCATAGTATACATGATCGATATTCTGCAAAAATTTAACAGAAGGACCAATTAGATAAAATGAAGCGATCTGCTATGAATCATGGAACTTCCATATATATAATATAAAGAACAAGGTAAACCTAAAGATATCATTATAATAAAATTTGAGGCATTAAATATATGGAGTTAAGAGTAGTAGATTGCAAGTAGGTCCTCTCTTTCATCCTATATTACACTTTTATCGCTTGCTTTACAAAAGCAGGCTCTTCTTATCTGAAGCTGTTAGACCGGTCCATACGGTCCTACGGGACCGGCTTTGGGCGAAAAGAGGCGGAACTCTCCGCCTCTTCTGTACGAGTCGCGCAACCCGCCGGATCCCATGAAGCTGTTTAGGAAGGATTTTTTAGGGAGTTGAGGGATTTTTTAGGGAGGGAAATTTGAATATAGGGATTGTTTAGAGATTTTCTTTTGGATTGTATGCATTAAATAGTTGGTTTTCATAGGGTTAGGGCATCTTGAATTTGACTGGAATTTGAGATATCTTAGATTTAGGTTTTCTTTTGGGCTCTAGCGGCATCTGGAGATTTGTGAGAGATATATCATCCTCTCGAATAAAGGATCAATTGTATCTTGCTATTTTCTGTTTCCCTTTCATCAAATAATACAAATTATCTACTATTTTCGTGGTTTTGTGCTGAATTTTGTGGAGAACTTTTGCTGTTTTTCAAAGATTGATAGAAAATATTTGAGATCTACAAGTATTTCCTATCAAAAGCATGCACCTTGGACATTGACATTCTCACCAAACAAATGTCAAATAACTTTGGGTGCGTTTGGGACGGCAGCACTGCTGCTTTGCTTTATAAAAAGTTATTAAATTTTCGTTTGGGGCATTGCGGCAGAACCGTGACAGAAAAAATTTGCGGCACATAGTTGCTTCCCGCGACCTTTCCATATCTCCCGCGGTCCGCTTCAGTCCGCTGCTTTCCGCAAAAAAATGACATAAATCCCCCTTGCAAATATTCGTGACCTTCGTCTGAAGCCTTCCGCGCTGCTTCCGACTCTTCTGGATTTCTCCTTCTTACAGATGATCCTCCTCACCGTCTCTACCATCCTCTGCTTCTTCTCTTCATCCGCCAACATTCCACATGGCATCACCTCCCTCGTCTTCCTTCTCTTCTCCACGGCTAGTCTTCTCTTCGCCCTCTCCCCTTCCACCAGTTTCTATTCCTAGCTCTCTTCTTCATCCCCCGCCTCCCCGTCAACAACAGACACCAACTTATCGGACTTCCCAGTCGAAACGGAATGTCACCGGCTATGCCACCGCCTCCCTTCTCTCCCGCCGCACATGGAGCTGGATTAAACCCCTCCTTGCCAAGGGCTATGAATGGAAGTATGTCCCTGAGGGAACGAGAACATCTTCTTCATCTTCAAAAAAAAAAGCTTCCAAATGGTTTGCAGGGACATAAGCAATGGCTTGCAGAAGTGCTGTAAAACTCATTGGATATTGTGTTGTTGATGGTGAAAGAGGGCCGCAAAGGCTGTTTGTCCATGAATTTATGCCCAATAAGAGCTTAGATTATCATTTATCCCGTTTCCTGGAAGGTTAGCCTGCAAATAGCTTTGGGTGCGGCAAAAGGGTATAAATGAAGTAATAAAAAAGTTATTGTAATTTTTTAGATTATTTTAAAGATGGTTGTGCATTGTAAAAATAATTATATTATTTGATATTTAAAAGTCATAAAATAATTCATAAAGTGGATGTAATTTTAATTTAGAATTATTAATTTGTTATCATAATCATATAAATTTAAAAAAAATTGACATTTAATCAATTTCCTTTCATCTTAATATATATAAGAGTATAAATGTAATTTATTCCCATACAGCTGCATCACAGCAACTCGATAACTATACTCCCCAAACAAAACATATTGCTTTATGTACAACAACTTTAGAACTCAACTTTCTGTACAACAACTTCGCAACCTGCTTTTTCGACAGCTGCAGCGGTTCCAAACGAACCCTTAGTTAGCAAAAATCCACGTTTCTCAAATCACCTTTCAAGGTTATTTAATCATTTAATTATGATCCACTAGTTATACTAAGAAGTGTACCTAAGCATGATCTTGGAAAAGATACACTCAAGGTGTTGGTTCTTAAGAAATGGATACCTAGTATAACTAGGAGTCTGGGAGAAAATGAGAAACCTAAGTGCAAGCAGCCCTTTGGTAGAAAACTAAAAACAATCTTAAAAGAGAGTGAAGTCCCAGATTGAAAGGGGTAAATATCTAGTATTCTGAAATGAAAATAGCTTTAGCAAATGCTGTAGAAAACTGAAATTACCTTTATTTTTTCAATTTCCTTGGGGCTTGCATTACCATACTGAAATGTGACAGGATGCCAACTTCGCTTATCCTTTTCACTCCCAGAGTTGTTCCACAAAGTGTAAGTCAGTGTTCTTCTCTCCAGTTCATCTTCAAGCTCCCTCATCTGTATTTGACAGATTATAGTTTTTGACAAAATAAAATGACAAATAGAATGACAAATAGAAACTATACTTACAGAAAGCAATGTAGGTACATAGTGTTCATCAGGAATACAACCATGCTTCTTCTCACTAGCAGGTTCCTGCATGTAAATAAAATCTAGACCGATAAAATACCGGAATTCTAAAAATATTTGTAAATGAATAGTAGAAGATATATTTTTTGTCTACAAGGAATTTTCTTGAGAAACAAATGATTTTTTATGTAAATACAGAAAAAATAACTCACAGAAATTTGCTTCTCATCAATGTCTTCCGCCAGCTTCCGCTGCAAAGATTGTTGAGCACAGAAACTATGTTATTACATACAAGTACACTGATAGAATAGGCTTCGCTTATATCCTCCTAATATAATGCATTGCATTTAATAGCCAGGAAAGAAAGCAATAATTATATAAGAACCTTTTCGTTGTATTTCTTAATTTGAAGAGCTTTAAGGCTTCAAATTAGTGCACAAGCGTAAAAATCTAGGAACAAATCATTCAGGGTGGTACAAGAGAAAGAGCCCCAAAAAACACAACCAGAGGAGAGTGAAAAGATTGGAACAATGATAAAGAAAGCAAATACATATTTTAATATAAAATGAAATTTATTTTAATAATTTTATAAATAATAATTGTTAATCTATTACATAATTTATAAAATTATTAAAATATGATAAAAGAAAAGCAATGTTAAATTTTGCTTTAAATAAATATAAAATTTGTTCACTATTTATTCATCCTTATTATGTACAAGATTAACTATATATTATAATTTATTAAATGATAAAATAATATAATATAAGCAATATAATCTCTTATTCACTTGTAATATCTAAAATAACCTTCATATTTAACTTTGGAGTTAACTTTAATTCTTATTTTAAGCTATGTGATAAAATTGACTCAATTTCTAATAGTCGATGGACTAAAATGGGGGTAATGCAAAACTCTGGGACTAAACGCTAGGCAAGTAAGTTTTGATATTTATCAATAGTCAGGGGACTATTTTGAACTTTTACTCTTATAAATGCGATTAGTTTTTACAATTGCACCACGGGCTACTACAACGGTACAATCTATATTTAAGAAAGAGAGGAAAATCATAGTACCTACTGAAAACAACCTCTTTTTACCCAAAATGAAAAAATATATATATTTTTTCACAAAGGGATTCATGAAGAAAAATATAGTGCAAAATATAAATTAATAATTGCAGATGTACACCTTAAAGGCAAAAAGAAAATAATAAAGAAAGAGCTTGAGATAAAAAAAATCAAACTAAGTTGAAAAGTTACTAATTTTAAATTATTAAAAGAGGATGTTAGAGGTAAACTGGAATTTCAAATTTGAAGAATATCTGTCATAAAAGTTTTAGAAGTGTCCAATTGCACTAACAGGATTGTCATAAAAGTTTTAGAAGAATCAACTAATCAATCATATGTAAGAAAATGTGGTGATTAAATGAGGCATAAAAAATTATAGAGTGAAAAAATAAGTTTTACAGAACATAGAAAAAGAATCTCGAAATACAACAATTATAAAGATGCTTGATATTTGGTAAAAAGGGTGGCAACCAAACCTAAAGCTGCAACACCTAGTAATTTCATTATAGGCTAAATACTAAGGAGAAGAAAAGATAATAGATATTAAATAAAGTTGAAGACAACAAGGAATTAGGAAAAATGCTATTTTGAGATATTATATTTAGAGATACAGATTGATTAAGATCAAGTAGAGCACTTGATAGATTGATTTAAATAAATTGAAGTGGAGTTAGCTTTGAAAATGCATATAAGTTAAAGCCTCAATTAGTTTCTACTAATTACCTGCTTTTGTGATAGGAAAATCAATATGCAAATCGGCTTTAATCTATTTGGATGAAAAAATTTAACAACTTACGAAGAATGTGCGTCAAAAAAACTGCTTTTGGGAAAGAGAAATATAAACAATGGTTGAAGTGTTCGCTCAGGAAAAGATAACACTATGACACAAACCCCGCTTCCTAGGCTTAAGGTTCCATTTTTCCTTGAGGTAGATTGTATGTTAATTAACTATATTTCCCCCAATAATTATATCGAGGTTTATTTAATTTTGGGTTCCTACTTCCTATGAGTGCAGACCCTCATAGTTAATTATCCCTATTATGTATAAGAGAACTCTCGATTAATGATGAATTAACTTTTAGAAGTGTAAGTGTTTTAATCTTGGTTGTGGGGGATGGAGGAAGACCCGATCAAGATCTCATGGTTTCGTCATCCCGATAATACTGTAGGTTTCAGTCTAACAATACTAACAATTGTTGATCGTAGTGTCGAGGGAATATGATTAGCAGTCAAGAGTTGCCCCCTCTCAGAGATCTCGAATAAACTGAAGAGGTTAGCTGTAAGTTGCAGTTTTATTGTGGGATGGAGTTTACATCTGTTACAATACCCATTAATTTATTTAATTTGGGTTATGGCTTCATTAGAAGTTGCTTAGTTGTTTGGTATAGGACGGGGACTTACAACTTCATTTAGAAGTTTCCCGTGGGTTTAGATTTAGTTTGTGACTTGCAGCTTCATTTACAAGTTGTCCGTATAGCAGGTCATACGGCTTCTCTTGGAAGTAGTCTGTAATTTGGCTTTTAGAGTTTTGTGCTTCCCTTGGCAGTTTCTCTAATATATTGATTAAAACTGGGTCTTATGGCTTCGCATGGAAGAAGCCTATGGTTTTAGATTTGATTAAGTTAGCCAACAACTATTTAGTTTGCATTTTTCTAGGCAACAGTTTGTTTAGTTCGCACCTCTTACCCGATACTTCTGCTTTTGTTTTAATACCCCTGTCTTAGTTTCAATACTAGTTTTGTTTATAGTACTTTTCCTTTTTTAGCACTGCAGTTTTACTTTCAGTACTACTTCAAAATTTTGTCTACTTGCTTGTAGGCATTTGGAGTTTTAGTTTCATTTTTTGCTTAATAAACTGATTTTAAATTAATCAATAAGTTTGTTAATTAATTGGTTGATTTATATTTTTTATTAATTTATTAATTAAAAGTTCTCCTATTCAATTTAAGTGATTACTTAATTAATTAAAAATTTAAATTTATTTTTTATCTAATTAATAATTTATTAATTTAATTGAAGTACTAATTTTAATTAAAAAAAATTATAATAAGTTAGTTCAATAATCAAATAAAAATTTAAGTTGACCAATTTTATATTTGTTATTTTAATTAGTTATTCGATTTAATTGAAATCTTATATTTATTTTTAAATTGATTAATTAGTTATTAATTAATTAAAATTTAGAATTGATTAATTATTCAATTGAAATTTTGAATTATTACTTTATATTAATTTTAATTAATTGACGCACTCAAATTATTTTTCAATATATTTTTAGAAAATTCGACACCCTCCCGACATCCGCTCCCTTCATCCCCTCCTTGCGAGGGGAGGTTGAGAGGGAACTCGCCCTTTCAAGTCCGCCCAGCCGAATGGTATTTAATGGTCGGGGGCTTCGGAACATTGCTTGGTCCCGTAATTGATCTTCAGAGTTTCCAATTGGCTGTTGATTGCGTTGGTGTGATCAGAGGGTTGTATAGGCTTCAAACGGAGAGAGAAGCGGACAGCTCGGTGTGCAGAGGCAGACGGGAAGCGGCCTAATGTAGCACTCGGGCAGGGTGAAGCACCCCCCTAAAAGTTTAAAAATACTATGGTCTTCAGGCAATTGCCCCTAATATAATTAAACACATTGTGTAGATGTGTTATTGTTAGAGAACTATAAACAAAATACAAAGAGAAATAGTAAATCAAAATTTTCAAGTCGAAACCCTCAAAGGAGCACTGCCCCCTTAGACCCCTGACATATCTGCTAACAGTTATAAGTTTGCCTCCCTGAAAATTATGGTTGGTTCCGCCCCTGTTAACGAGTTTAAGGTTCCCAAATATCTAATTGATCCATTAATTTCTTATAACACATTTTCTTTTTCTTTGACAAAGAAGTCAATAATCGTTCACATTTTCTCAGAATTCTTCGTAGACCTCTTTGCAAAAAAAAAAAAAATCTCTTTTGTGGGCAAGAGGCAGTCCATCGGGTTCTTATTCGTGTGTCAAGGCACGAACGGAGGCCTACGGGTCTGTGTGCGGGATAGACGGGCGACGCGTATTTGTCGCGCAAGTAGGGGAGGTGGAAGCTGCTGGCTAGGTTGCTTGTACACGCAAATGGAGGCTGGTTCGACGTTGGGTTTTCAATGACATGCTGACCTGCTTTGGCTATATTTATTTTCATTCATTATTTCATTTTTTTAATTAAAAAAGAAAATTTTATTCGAACATGAAGTTTTAAAAAAGTCAATCAGCAAAAGCAAAAATTCACAAGTCATACCAAACGAATCAGCCTCTAGCTCCAAGTAAGATAGTATTGAAATTCAGAAAGTAATTGATGCACAATGTCATAGGGTCACCATAATACAAATCAGGATAAGATTCATGAAGTACACAAAAAATCAAATATCGCACTTCATCAACTATTAGTTAAGCTGCAATATGTCAGATATATAAATAACATGAAATAAAGTGGTATGTATGTAAATCTCCCTTTTTATTATTATGAATGCTAGTGACTTCTAAAAGTAATATCAATGCACATGCAATGGAATACAGATGCATTTGAAAGAGAAATTAACATACAATGGAATTTGCACATCTAGTGTCATTTCATCCTAATTTTGTTGCCCTTCCAAACTGCTATTAGCATCTATAATGATTGCCACCAGCTACTTTCTAACTTTCCTATTGTTGCCCATTATTTCAGCATTCCACCATCTTAGTTGATTATTAATTCACGCTAATTACGAATCACATCTGTTGCTTGTGCCCGGTCACATTTCCCTTCTGTCACTTCACTATTTTGTCGAACCTCTAAACAATTTAGAAAGGAAATTCTTAGAGAATTTCCACTTTTGGAATTCCCCAAGGATGTAATAAAACCTGTTGTGTTTTAGTAAATTTATATTAATATTGTGCGGCTTTTATTTTGGATTTTTTATAGTATACAAATAGAATTCCTGGCGTATGTAAAATTCAATGGACATAAAAAAACTAAAACAGAATTTTTGTTTTCTCCTCTTGTGTGTGTTGTTAGACGTGAGTTCTTTGAGTACTTCACAGGTGTCGAAAACTACTTTTGCGGGTGACTTCTTGTCCAGCATAAGGCTTGATTCTTCCCTTCTGGATAACTTTTATCATTATTCTTATCTTTTTAAATTAATTAGATAAAAGATTTGTGTGGTGATTGAAGTTTAGTTACACTAAGTATTGGGTTTCTTTTTTAAAGTTGCTAGAATTTAAATTTATTTCAAATTGTTAGGGATTATTAAATTATCTATTGGAATGAACCAAATATATTTATTTTCCTTACATTACAGCAATAGATTTAGCTTAAAATTATTATTTAGTACCGTGAAAATTATGATTTTCTTTGTGACCATAAATCATTAACTGTCCTACATTACTATCACTAGATACATTAAAAATGTAAAGTTATCCAGACACAGTAAGGTTTAGATTTGACCTCAATTAAATGTATATGTAAAAGTACAATGACAAATAAATTGTTACCACCAGTGGTAAAAAGTACGCCTCTCAGTCACAATCGCAAGAGTTTACAAAACTTTAAGTATCACTATAAAGAACAAACAATGCTTACCTTGCAAAACGTTTTGAAAACTGGAAAAATAAAATCATCATCGACCACAACTTCTGCATGCCTTCTTATTAATGTTATCCACTGCAATGAAAATTCCAGTGCAAGTTATGTTAATCCTCTATAGCTTTAAAAAAATCGAAAAACCAATCACTTCAGGATGCTAAAAGTTAAAAAAAAAAAAAAAGGAAAACCTGAGATCCTTTCCTCCATTTGTGCTTGGGGATGGAAGGAGCCATTTTCTCATTGTAACGGCGCTCTTTTTTGTTTGAAAAACTGGAATAAGGAACTCAATTACAATCCTCTATAAGCACTTGATTTGAGTGAGGTGGATTTAAAATAGTGAAGATGCAAGTGTGCAATGTCTTACCTGTCCACAAAACTTTTTGGGGAGGACATCAAATAGTTATACACATAGTCAAAATTGTAAAGTGGAACACAGCTGCAAAAAAAAGAGCCTGATCAAGTTTTCCCATCAAAGAAAGACAAAAAAGCATATATATATCTTCAAAATTAACATTGCTGAAACGAAAAAATAAACCTACCACTAGAAGAGTTCAACAGCAGAGACTTCTTCAAATAAGAAATAATGAGATGTTCATGCTAGGTTTATACAATACAGCACTGATAACTTAAATTTCATGTTCTTTGACATAAAGTTAAGGTTAAAGTGAAACATAATATCAAGCATCATGATCCTTTAAAGAGTAGTTATTGCACAAATCAGTGATGCATGTGTACTTCAAGAGACTTATCCATGAATCAGATATGTTCTAGATACATTGGCATGAAAGAAAATCAAGTTAAAGCCCCATTCACTGTCAACTTTCCATGTTCTTATAATATTTGAACATTTCTAGGAATTTCACGCCAAAATTCGGTAGGTGAACAGTGCGACACCAATATTGGCGTCGGATTGTTCACCTATGCCAAAAAATTGGATTGCCGAAGACGAGCGCAAAAGAGGAGAAAAGCACGTGAAAGAGGAGAGAGATTGTTACCTTCACAGGAAACATGAGAAACAAGAAAGAAATACAATTCGATTGGAGATGAATTGTGGCATTTTGAAGTTTTACTGTATTTTAGAGTGAAAATTGGGTTTTTCGGTTGGAGATGCCCTCAATGCACAATGCTTTTGCTAATTGCCAGGTCTACATAGGGATTAGTGTTGGCACATTTTTCCATGATTCAACAAGACCTTGAGTTTAAAATGGACGAGCCCAAATTGCTGAACTCAGATCCGATCGCAACATGGGATGAACCAAAATCACTATAATCACAATTAGCCACACTTCTACCCTGTTTTGTGTCAAAATAAGTTTAAGCCTACTATATTATTTTTTTTTATTTTCCAAAGTTCATTCTTTTTGTGTGAAAAAAAAAAAATACTTTGGCGTCATCTAAGGGACAGATTGGAAAGCCCAGCTCCCAGCTTCTTGTGTCAATTTCATAAAAAGGACAATTTCAAATATCTCTAATAAAATAAAAGCGCACCTATCAGAGAGCAAAACAAAACGCTGGTTTGCGGGATCCTCAAGAGCTACTCTAAGCAACAACCGCTCTGCTTCGATCATGCTGGCCTCCCCCCAATTCACCTACATAAAAAACAACAAATCCCCTTTCAAAATTCAAACAGATTTACCGAAGCTTAAAAAAAAAAAAAAAAAAACTAGGGCAAAAACACAAGCGATCAATGACGAGAAGAAGACCTGTACGCTATCCTCTAGGTGACGGCCGTAAAAGAAGGGTGACCTCGTTGTCGACTGATCAAGCTTGAACCCCGGCTTCGAGTGAACATATATGGAGAAATTCCCCACTTGGGCATTCTACCAAACACCGAGACGATAAAAAAACTTCTAAAATTCCAAAATATCCATAGCATAAAAATTCAACGGGTATACCTTGAAGAAGCTATGCCAAACGAAATCGAGGTTCAGGCCAGCGCGGGCAAGAAAGAGGAAGGCGATCTTCGGCTCCCCGGAAAAGGGAACGGGGTCTCGGAAAAGAAGAAGCGTCGGCTGCGGGGTTGTGAGTGAGTAGGACTGGAGCCGTAAAACAACGAAAAGGAAAGCGAGGACCGAGAGGGCGGCGACGAGTTCAAGACTTAGCCACAATCTCCGACGAAAGGGCGCCGCGGCCAACGGCGGCGCTGCCCGTTTCTTCGTCATATAGGCGCAGAATCGTTTCTTTTTTATGTGCGCCGTCGCATTTAAAGAAGGCCGGGGACGCCCCCTCTCTCTCTCGCACGCCACGTCGATTCAGTCTTTTCAAAGGCAGAATTTTTTAAACCATCGTTCACTCGTTTTTAAACCAGAGCAAAATTTAAAATTTTTAATTTTTTCACCCATAAAAAATTTAAAATTTGATATTCCGAACTAAAAGGAACACGTCAGAAAAAAAAAATTAAAAATGGTGACCGGAGATTCTACTCAGTCAAAATCTCTGATGTATCTTTTGGCCGCTTCTTCTTTTTTTTTTAAACAAGACGCTCTTTCTCTCTCTCTCTCTTTCCGTAGGACGCTTAATTTATATAAATATATAATATTTATTGTCCGTTTTTGTCCGTTCGTTTTTTAAATCGTTACAGGGGCTTCCACGTGATGAGACATATTCAGTTCATCAAAGCGAATGCAAAATCTAAAAAAATCTAAAAAAATATATTTTTTTTGGTGAAAATTCTTCTCATTATTATTAATTTATTATATTCCCAAAAAAAATTATTAATTTATTATCATATTTGATAGCAGTACGATCAAACTTCGAGATTTTTGTTTTTCAAAGTTAGCGGCGACACGATATATTTTTCAAGATCATATTAATGCATAACATATTAATATGTTTAATGTAAGAATTGTATTTTTATATATCAATATATCATTTAATTATTAAATATATTATCAATATATCATTTAATTATTAAATATATTAAATATTAAATATATTAAAGAATTGTGTATATTAAATATATTAATATTTAATATTGAAGAAGAAAATTGATTTAATTTTTCCCCAAAAAAAAGATTTAATTATTATTGTTGTGGGCTAGAATATACGCGACGATAGAGTTTTTACTATACGTCTTAACTTTGCACATATATCCAACTCACACACAGAGAACACAATATTTTTTACTTGGAAAACTCTTGAAAGGAGAAAAATCATGAGGCCTAGCCCAGTTGAAAATGACTCCACTAGAATATAATTTGGTTACAATGGGCTGATTCACCTCCGAAGGCGATCAGATTACAAATAACAACTGTATGATAGAAATCCGGGTGTTAGGTTATGGTCTGGCAGAACTTCGAGCCTCAGGTGATGGTCTGACGAAGGTGAGGGCCTCTAGCAAAGATGAGGGCCTCTGGCAAAGGTGATGACCTCTGGGGAAGGTGAGAGTCTATGACGAAGGTGAGGGCCTCTGTGAAGGTGTGGGGCTCTGGCAAAGGTGAGGGTCTTTGACGAAGGAGATGGTCTGAGATGGTGGTATGGAGAAGGTGAGGGCCTTTGGCGAAGGTGAGGGCCTCATGTAGTGGTCCGGCGAAGCTCCGATGATGGTCCGGCGAGGCTCTGGCGGTGGTCCGGCGATTGTGGGGCCCTCATGTGATGGTCTGACGAGGCTCTTGCAGTGGTCCGTCGAGGCTCCGACGGCTGTTTTCCGACAAGGCTCTTGCGGTGTTCCGTCGAGGCTCTGACGGTGGTCTGGCGAGGCTCCTGCGGTGGTCCGGCGAGGTTCCGACGGTGGTCGAGTAGGAGCTTCTTCCTTCTCTTCGCTTCTTCTCTTCTTGCTTGGGTCCCCTTTCAAGAGGAATGAGGGGTCTATTTATAGATTTCTAGAGTGGCATAGCCTGTAAATAGGTGAGAGATCAAGGGTAAATGGGGAGTGGTTGGATGGACGGCCGAGATTGAATCCCTTGATCATGGACCGTTCGTCAAGCATTCAGAGGCCTTAATGATTTCGGAATTCAGTGATCTTGGGCTCGTTGGATTCGTCTCGTTGAGATGCTAGATTCGATTATAAGCTCGTCATATTTGAAAATCGTTTGGTAACTCAAACAGCGGTACAAAGCTTCCAATAGTGCTTTGGTTCCTTGATTTGAGCTCGGATTGAGTCGAATTTGATGTGACGCCCCAGGCATCCATAGTGAAAGGATTCGTCTGACATTCTGATCGAACTCCATTCCAGTTGTCTTGCTCAGACCTGAAATTGTTTACCACATATAATAAGCTTAAATAGCCCAGCAGGTCACCAAAGCCTACAACTGAAATCAAAGCACGGTACTGCTATCAATATGCATGTCAGTCAATCAAATCCATAACAGTCAATGGTCAATGAGTCTATGCAGCGGAAATCAAATCAATAGTCAATGCAGTATGGAAATCAATAGTCAATGCAATCAATAGTCGATGAAATCAATAGTCGATGCAGCGATAGAAGAACCGATAAATCAAACTCAATCAATACTCGTCAATCTCGAAGAAATCCGTCGATCAGTCAAATCAATCGTATCGAATCAATCGATCAAATCAAGTCAAAGCTATCTAGTCAATAAAATCAATAAATTTATAATATCCATATCCATAGCATCAATGAATCAATACAATATCTATATCCATCCATATCCATAGCAATGATTAATAGTATCAATGCTCGGCAATCAATCGATGAAATCAATGAAATCATACGATACAGAAAATTCGATCAAATCAATAAAGCAGAAATCGATAAAGCAATAAATCCGTAAGTCAATACAGTAAACATACAGTCAATACGATAATACTGGACAAGTACAATCAACTGGCTATGTTGCTGTTGTAGATATCCATACGTTGGTTTCTATAAAAAGAGTCGTTACTCTATTGCCCGTCGGCCGCCCGTCGGCATATCTATAAACCCCTTATGACTCCCATCTATATTGCTGTTGTAGAATCCATATTTAAAGGAAAGCCCGTCGGCCCACCATCCTGTACAGGTCAAGTCAATCTCCAACCAACGTTCAACCAGGTTCCACTTGTGTTCCAGTATCCAATAGTCAATCAATATTCAATTCAATAATCAATTCAATAATCAATATTAAAGCAATCTAGAACAATCATATCAATATTCATATACATAGCAATGCAATCTATCAATTTCAGACAAATCAGAAATCATACGAAAATCGGGCAGAGTAACGGCAGTCTATCAAATTTACACAAAAATCCTACAAAATTACAATTCACCAAATTACAACAGAATGTTCACGACAATAATATAAGACTATTGTTCTACTGAATCCACATCAAATAATATCCTGATATTTTTCTATTCAATTAAAATCGAGTAGAACCAATTCCGACCGGTAAAATCATCGCAGAATATACTCAAATCGTGTACAATATTCATATCTATAACATACTAAAAGTTGTGCGGTGAAAGTTGTGTCAATACCAAATCAGGTCTAAAATTCGACTACGAAAACACAAAACAAGTCACAACTCGACCAAAAATCAACATCTCTGAAAACAGAAATAGGATTCGGAGTCCTTACCACGAGATCTACACTTTTCCCAATAGCGGCGTCGGACGAAAAGCGCTCCGCGGCCTCCGAAACCCAAGATCTCCTTTACTTTTCTTCTCTTTCTCTCTCCTCAGATATTTCTGATTTTATAAAAATGATTTTCTCTCTCCTCAAAACGAGCTAATTTCCTTATATCTTTAGTCTGATCATCCTGGCCGATCGCGACATCGTCCAGGATGATGTGACCAATTTCCAATCGTACTGGACGATTTTCCAGGACGATATAGGACGATAATTAATTTTTCAAAACCCCTTGCTCTCGAGATTTTGTCATACACTGATCGTCCCAGGACGATCCAAAATTGTCCTGGACGATCCAGTCCAGAAATCATTCCAGAAACACTCCAGAAATCAGCTGTTTTCAATGCACTGATCGGCCTGGACGATCTCAATATCGTCCCGGCCGATCCTGGGAGGAAAATCCAATTCAGAGAGGAACAGTAAGGGAACGAGATCTCACATTTGATGTCGTTGGATTCGTATTTCTGAGACGCTCAGTTTGACTATAAGTTTACTGAAATCATAGTTTAGGTGATCCTAAATTTAATTTTTGAAGTTTCCGGCATGATTTTGCCTCAAGATTCGTGCCCGATCAAGATAACATTTTGATGATATATCAATTATAAATATTGAGATATTATTTAAATTCAATTTTTTAAAATTAAATTTTAGATCATATGAGTCTTGATTTCAATAAATTTCCAGTTGAACTAAACATATCGATAAGATGACTCAATCTACACTCATATGTTATCAAAAATTTATCTTGACCGGGCACGAATCTCGAGGGAAAATCAAGTTGGAAACTTAAAAAATTAAATATAGGATCATCTGAACTTCGATTTCAACAAACTTATAGTCGAACTGATCGTCTCGGAAATACGAACCCAACAACACCAAATTCAACTCAATCCGAGCGCAAAAGGGTCTAAATCAAGGACCCGAAGCACAGTTGGAAGTTCAAACCACAATTTGGATTACCAAACAGTTTTCAAACGTGACATGCTTATAATTGAATCAAGCAGACCGACGAGACGAATCCAACGAGATCAAGATCGTAGAATTCCGATATCACTAAGACCTTCAAATGTTTGACGAACGGTCCACAATCAAGGTATTCAATATCAGTCGTCCATCCAAACCACTCCACATTTGCCCTTGATCCTCTTCCAATTTACGGATCATGGCATCCTCAAAAAACTATAAATAGCCCCTCATATTTCTTGAGAGGAGACCCAAACAAGAAGAAGAACAAGATAACAATGAGAATAGAAGAGAAGATGATTAGGAGGGAAGAAACTCCTCCTCGACCACCGTCGGGATTCTGCCCGACTTCCACGAAAAGTCGGAATTCTGCCCGACTTCCACGGGATGTCGTAATTTTGCCCGACTTCCACGGGATGCCGGAATTATGCATGACTTCCACAGGACACTGAAATTATGCCCGACTTCCACGAAACGTCGGAGATCTGCCTAACTTTTAAGTGACACCGAAATTCCGCCCAATCTCCAAGTGACGCCGGAATTTTGTCCGATCTCCAAATGACTCTGGAGTTTTGCCCAAATACTATCTGACACTGGAGTTCTCCCCGGCCGCCGACTGTTCATCGCCATATTTCTACCAGACACCGGACTTCTACTTGTTGTCGAATTTTCGCCGGACATTTATCTGATGTTGGATTTCTGTCCATTGCTGGACTTCTACCATACATCATCCTTCTAACCTTCATCGTCA